AGTTAGCGCCACTGCAGCGCTTCCGCTTGGCAGCACTGGAGTAGGAGGAAGGAATGAGGAATCTGCCGTGCACCTAACAGCCAGGATTATGCACATGGAACATTGCTTTGGGTCAGCCCAGCTGGAGTAGGCTGTGAGCCTGTAATGGACCCCAGCTGAGCACGTGGGGAACAGAGCACATCAGGGCAGCACCTCACACGTGGCACTGCTGGGTGAGAAAACCCCTTGTACCAGGAATTCCCACACCTGGGTGCAATACAGAACCCGGTCTCCACAACCCGTGTTCTACAAGCCTCACGAGGGCCTCAGCTCACCCACAGAAGCAAACCTCCCCCCAGCCGTCGCACCTCACCCCTCATTCCCCGTTTATGCACACTTCAGTTGAACGTATCTCACCGTGGGCTCCCGATTTCACGCAGCAAACCCCACAGCCCCACACAGCTCAGCACCCCGCCCGCTGCAGAGCCGGGCCCGCAGAACGCCCCCTTTGAACACGAGGACGCGGCCCTGGGAAGCACAGCACTGAGGCTTCTAACACAGGACGCTGCCGACCCGCACCCTCGAGCTAGAGGATGCTAAACGTGACTCATAAAGGTAAAACAGCCCGAGCTGCTGCCCTGCTGTGGCAGAGCTTTTCCCTCCCCAGTTCAACACAGCACGAAAACGACACCGCCGCCCACCGCACCACACCTCCCTCACACTGAGAGGCAGCACTGAGGCGCGGCCCTTCTCATCAGAGCGCGGCGGGCCGCCCTGGTTTCCGATTGGCAGAACGCTCTGCCTGTCACGCTGCAACCAATGGGCGCGCAGGGTTGGGGCGGGGCTCGCAGGGGCGCCGGCGTCGCGCGGCAGGTAGGGCCGGGGGCGGCGCCGGTCGGATCGGTCGGCGGGCCGCAGCCTGGATGGACGGAGCGGGGCTGCGCTGTGAGGAGCGGGGCGGGGGGGGGGGGGGGGGGGTCGGGCGGGGAGGTCGAGAGGGCTGTGGGGTCGATGCGTGTGCAGATAGAGCTCGCGTTGCGTTGGATCGGTGCGGTGATTTGATCCGCGGTGCTGGGGAGCTGCGATGCCGGCTGTGAACGATGTTTAGTTTGATGGTTTAGCTCCGGGTGGCGGAAGCTCTTTGGACAGGGATTTTTTTGGGGTGTGCGAGCTGTGTCCTGGAGTTTCGTGTACGAATGCATCGTGATACAGGAAGAAATTAACCTTAAGCGGAAGATTCTCTGTCCTGTGTGGGAATTTCTGTTTCCTCAGGCCTCCGCAATGTTTGCCCAGTGCACCTGGAAGTGTGCAACCTCCGTGCTGCTGATCACACTGCTGAGCTGCGGCCTTTCTCCTCCTGCACAGGCTGGCAAGGTGAGTGAGCAGCTTCAGCTGCTGAGTGTGGTACAGCAGGCACCAAAATGGCAGAGAAGCAAGTGTTCTCCTACAGGCAAATTGCAGACTGCAGCAGGTCTGTGTGTATCTGTAACATGAAGGGCTGTGAATGTGTGTGATGGAGGCCTCTGCCCTGACTTTGGTTGTGGTTTCCAGCTCGTGTTTTGAGATACATCTGAGAGCGCCTCTGGAGAGGAGAAATAAGAGAAATGAGAGATGTGGAATGAAGTCATCTCTGTCTTAGGGAATGTTCTGCTCCCACAGCCCTATGTGGTGAGGGCAGCAGAGCTATAGCCCTGTGTTGGCTCACTGATGCTTGTCCTTCGTGTTCCTGCAGAGCTCAGAGGACATCCGCTGCAAATGCATCTGTCCCCCGTACCGGAACATCAGCGGGCACATTTACAACAAGAATGTGTCACAGAAGGACTGGTGAGTTGCACGTTGAAGCCTGAGGGGTTGATCTGTGGAAGTCAGCACTCTGAGAGCGATTTGCTGCCTGTGAATGTGTAAAGCAAGCTGTTTCTGTAGGCTCAGCCCAGGTGAGGGGTGTAGATGTAGGTCATGCCCTTCAGCCCCCTTCACCCGGATGTTATCCCTGCAGAAGGTGCTTCAGCAAATCCGTCCCAGGAACTTCAGGCTAGCTAAGCTGTGGTGGGAACTCCAGTCAGCATTATCAGCCCAGTGTGAAAGCTGGGGCAAAGTCACCACAGCATCCTTCCACAGAGCACTGGTTTCTTCTCATCCTGTTGCTGATTTTGGTTTCTTTGCATTGCAGCAACTGCCTGCATGTTGTGGAGCCCATGCCAGTGCCCGGGAACGATGTGGAGGCGTATTGCCTGCTGTGTGAGTGCAAGTACGAGGAGCGCAGCACCACCACCATCAAGGTAATTGTGGGTCAGCTCCCTGTGGCTCTGTGCCATCCCAGGCACAGCTTGACAGGCTGGGCTTTTGGAGCACAGCCCAGAAAGGGAAGACAAAGCAAGCATGGCTAGCACACAGTGGTAGTGTGCTACCAGAGCACACCAGAGCGCCGTGTTGGAGTCTGGAGCGCTCCTGGCACTGAGGAGGAGGCACCACAGGAGACCTGTCTCCTTGCTGAGATTGTGCCAAAGTATCTCATGTTGGGAACCCATCCTGTTGGTCTCCTGTTATGTGCAGCACAAGTTTCAGTTGATGCTGCAGAGAAGACCAGTCTTCTTTAAGAAATGCAAGAGACTTCCTAGTGAGCACTGAAATGAGGGACGAGATCAGGCATCAGGGGTATCTGTGAAGGGAGCTTCCTGGCCTCTGTGGTACTTCTGATCTCTACTGACCCTTTCTGCCGTGCTGTGCTTAACTGCAGGTCATTATCATCATTTATTTGTCCGTGGTGGGGGCACTGCTGCTCTACATGGCTTTCCTTGTACTGGTGGACCCTCTGATCCGAAAACCAGATGCTTACACACAGCCCCTGCACAATGAGGAGGAGAATGAGGTGAGGCTGTGCAGACGGGTGGCTGCCGTTGTGGGAGGGACAGGGCAGTGAGGACACAAGAGAATGGCTGACAGGGGAGCAGTGTGACCTCATGCTCGTTCCCTCTGTGTTTGGGTTGAGCGTGCCTTGCTTTGACCTCGTCCACTGTTTCTTTACAGGACTCTCGCTCCTTGGCTGCAGCCCCAACCCCGTCAGGGGCCAGAGCCAACACAGTGCTGGAGAGGGTGGAGGGAGCCCAGCAGCGCTGGAAGCGCCAGGTGCAGGAGCAGAGGAAGACAGTTTTTGATCGGCACAAGATGCTGAGCTAGAGGAGCAGCAGTGCAGCACCAGGAGCCCGGGTAGCTCAGCAGGTAGAGACAGACAGCAAGCCATCCTTCAGGACAGCCGTGGTGTTGGCCTGGAAGCTCTAACCCTCTCCGATTTACCCTTTTGTAGAGAGGGGCAGGCCACAGTGCTTGTCCCTGGTTTTTGTCCCCTTGCCCTGTACATCAGCCCATAGGCTGAGACCTGCACTGACAGCTGGCCCCTGGCTGCATGTAAACAGCCACACACAGCTCTGCCACCCCAGTGCGTGGGTCAGTGGGGGCTGCAGCTCCAGGGCGCTGTGCCACCGGCACGATGCCGCAGTCACTGCTTGCTGGGGTTGACATCAGCCCTGTGTTAGAGAGTCTTGGTGTGGAGTTTAGTGGGAGAAAAGTAACGGGATCATTTTTGTAGGCTAAATTATATGGTGCTGCTCCAGGATGAAGAAGCCACCTCCATCTCTCGTTTGCACTGATGTTAATTGGGAACTCCAAAGCGTGACACACGTGCACTGCATGTGGGATCCCTGCTGCTGGTCAGCTGCTGCTTGCACTTACTCTGGTGTAACCTGAGTGCATGTCCATGTTACTCAGTGGAGTTTCTCCAGATTTACACCAGCGTAACAGAGACTGCATTTTGTTTCTCTGCAGGAGAGCTGCACAGAGCTGATTAGTAGATTAACAAGTAAAAGAACAGGTATGCTGATCTATACTTCTATCTCTGTTTACCTCCTTTAGCAGCAGATAAAAATACACTGGGGAGAAAGCTTTTGGTTTGTAACCCTGCTTGTAACCCGTGACGTTCACACAGTGCATGAAAGGCATTGTGTCCAAGAGAAGTGGGGCAGTGGCTTTGCTGGAGCACAGCTTATCTCTGAAATGGAGAGGTATGGGTTTGAAAGCTGAGCTATTCAATGGATAAAGATCTTTCTTTTTTGGAGCTGGAACTAGATGATGTTTAAGGTATCTTCTAACCCAAGTCATTCTATGGTCTGGGATCGTAGCCCTAGGAAGGTCACCTTTGTGTTCCTCAAAATTCCCAAGACCTCTGACTGTGCTTTGGCTGGAACCCTTAGAACGTCAGGAAGGTGCTGGAGTTTATTGTGTAGCATCTTTGTATTAAATGCAGACAAAGACCTTCTACGTGGCTGACTTTTTTCAGGGCGAAGCCATGTCCCTGCAGCACTGAGGGGCGGGTGGCTGCTGCAGGGCCTGGAGCTCAGCGTTCAGCACCTCGCTGGCCTGAAATCTACCCAGAAATCTCCCTGCCGGGTCTGAACATCAGAGCTGCCCCGGGTGCCCTGCAAGGACTGAGCCGGTGCTGTGGGTCCATCTGGTGGCCGCTGCCCCTCCCAGCAGCACAGAAATCAGCGATACCAGAGGCTCCTGCAGGCAGTGCCTGGACTCCTGGCTTCCCATATGGGGTGCTGCTCAGGGGACTTGCAGAAGTAGCTTGAAAACAGGATAAGAGAATAACAGCAGTGTGATAGAAAGTCAGGAGGTAAGGGTTAGACAACTGAGGATGGGGTGGTGTTGAGAAGTTGCAAAAAATGCTGTTGCCTGGCTAATAGACTCACTGCTGTTAATTAATTAGCTGAGTCAGGGCCTAAGGAGGTACCGAGAAGGACACCAGGGAACAAAGGAAGCAGGACCCCACTGCTCAGAGCAGGGAAAGTGGCACTCCACCAGGACACAAAGAGCTTGCAGAGCTGCGTGTCCGTCACTCTCCCCATACTGATGGGTTGTAGGGCTGGGCACTGCTCTCTGCAGCATCCCCCATCCATCTTCCTGCAGGAAGCAGACCCCACAGTTGCCCTGCCACCCCTCTACATTCAGCAGGTAGGACCAGCTTGGCTGAATAATTTAATTCTCCTTTAAATCAAAAAAAGGACTGAGAAAAATAAACCTCTTCTTAGAGCAAAATCCAACCCATCACAACCCTGCTCAGGTGCCTGCAGTCCAGATATCGATGCTCTGGATGATGAGCCACTCACTCTGGCTCTGGGTGACCCGGATCCTCACACATTCCACAGGGTTGGGTGCTCCCTTCTCCAGCCCCCGCCGTTCTAAGTTCCCTTTCTCAAAGGTGCCCACAGTGGTGTACACAGAGCAGTCCCGGCCATCAGCCCGCCGCCTCTGGCCCAGCTCCAGAACCCCTGCACGCAGGAAGTCCCCATGGCGCTCATTGGAGCCCGTCTGCACCCGGACACGGGTAACACGGGCTGGTTGGTGGAAGACGATGCAGAAGATGCTGCCCACTGCTGGGTTTTTCCCCCAGAAATATCCCTCTGCTGTGCTGTAAGCCTTGGAGGGCTCATAGTTCTCAAAGACAAGCATGTTGGTGAACACGGCTGCTGGTGGGTTGTCCGGAAGGTCCATGGCGTCAGCCTCGAACTCGTCATCCTCCAGTCGGTTGACACTACCTTGGAAGGAGGAGTAGAGGCCCATGTGCTGGAAGAGGGAGGGCTTGAAGCGGATCACGTCCTTCTGGGTAAGCAGGAGGCGGAAGTGGTCCAGCAGCCAATCACAGGGCATCTCCTGGTAGAAGAGGAGGAGGAAGCGAGCCAAGCGAGGAAGGTCAGTGGAGCGGTAGAGCTTACCGATGTAGCCCAGCTTGGAGAACTCAAGGGTGGCCCAGTTGGAGCCTTCCTGGGAGGCCACGGCTTTGCGGATGGCGGTGAAGAAGGACTTGGCAGACAACACATCATCCTCAATCATCAGGTAGTAGGAGGAGAGGTTGGCAGCAAAGGTGACGAGGTAGGCGTAATCCACGTTCTGCTTGGACCTGAACTTCACCCGCGCCTCTGGGTCGTTGTAGTTTCTCTTGAGGCCTTCCAGGGTCGGGTAAAACTCATGGGGAGCGTGGATAAGCACGAGCCGGCCCAGGAGGATGTGGTGAGAGAACCTTTGGCTGATGTCAGCGGCCACATGGGCGTTCCATCTGGGGTTTGCATCGGCCAGGTGCACCACCACCACCATCTCCTGCAGCTCCTCTTCTGATGACTGCTTGAAGAGGGACTGCAGTGTGTCTCGGAGGTAATAGCCACGTGGTCGTCGCACTGATGACAGTCCCACAGCCAAGAACTCTGCAAGGCAAAGCAAAGGCATTCACAGGCTGAGTACTGATGCACCACAGTGACATTCTCCCATGTGGAAGGGGTCTCCAAAAAGTTCTCCCCACGGCCAACCTGCACAGTTAATGCTAATTTATGGCCCTGCATCCAAAGTCAGAAGATCCAGATCCCAACTGGGAAAGCAGGAAAAGCACCCACAGGCAAATGTATCTCATCCAGAAATCTGGGAAATCCAAAATGGCTGTGGTCACCCCACACCCCAATTGGACAGAGCAGAGAAGGCTGGTTAGGGGGGAGAGCACCCAAAGTGACAGTGATGGGGGAGGACCACGATGGTCAGAGGTGCAGCTCCCAGAGCCCAGCCCAAAACAGGCCCCAGAGGCACTCACTTTTGTGGGATGATGGGGAACCAGCAAGGAGGTGGTAGGAGATGTTGTTGAGTGCAGAGAGGCTGTCCGTGTCCTGGTGGACGTGCAGGGCTCCTTGCTTCAGTGTCTTCAGGACTGTATCTGAAGGTAGATCCCTAAAATCGACCTGGATGGCAGTCAAAGGTGGACTGGTCAGAACCTGGGGTCTTGGACACGTGTAAGCCAAGGGGCAGCATCTGCCTCCTCAGATCCTGGACTGGAGGAGCCCAAAGGGAAGGGAGAAGGCAGAGCTGGAGTTTGGGGGTGATACAGGGCCAAGGAAGGCAGCAGAACCAGAGGTTGGGGTCCCAGTGGGGCAGGAAGGGAGCAGAGCTGGGGTTTGAGGCCCACGTGGGGCAGAGAGGAGGGGACTCTCCCAGCACAGGACTCACCTGGAAATCCTGCTGCTGCCAGCTGGCCCTGTGCAGGAGGAGGAGGAGGAGGAGGAAGAAGAAGGAGGCTGCAAACACAGCCGTGAGGGAGCGCTTCGGGGAGACCCGCATAGCACTGGGCTGGCCTGCTGAGAGCCCTGCAGGAGAGAGATGCATCAGAGCACAGCACAGCCCAGGATAAAGCTCCTTCCCTATGCTGGGACAGCAGGATGACAGCAAGATGGCACTGGGATGCACACAGCAGTGCTCACCCAGGGGCACCACACAGCCCAGCTGGGAGAAACCCACCAGGCACAAGAAGCCACGCTGCTCTTCCAACACTGCAGCTTCCTATTGCACGCTGCACATCCCCTCCTGCCCACACCCCACAGGCAGCACCAGTGGTACTGCTGACCCAGGCAGCTGCCAACAGCCCAGCACAGCCACGTCCCTCAGCCAGGAGGACAAGAAAGCCTTGAAGTCACCTTCACAGAGACTTTAGTGCCCTTGAGATAGTTCTCCTTGCAGCAGAGGTGTGGCACGAGACTAAACGGCTCCTGAGTTTACCTGGGGTTTTTCCATTATTAATGCAACTGGGTCTGCCCTAGAAGAAGGAAGGCAGAGTGCAGGTGAGCACCCAGCCCTGCAGGGCAGCTGCAGCACATGCATCCCAACTCACAGCACCTGTGTTCAGCTGAAAGCATCTGGGAGCCACACGTGGAGACCCAGCACAGTGAGAACTGAGAGCTGCCCTGAACTCCTAAATACAATCAACTGCTGGGGAAAACAGCCTCATTCAGCACTGATGGGGAAATACAAGCATAAAACAGACTGTTTTAAGGAGAAAATCCATTTTCTGGTCCAGAAATCCTTTGCTGGGAGGTGTTAACACCTTAATGGGGTGACATACAGCACGTCCCCTCGGTGCAGCACCTGTTGCTACTGTAGCTGAGCTGACCTCACGTTCATTATAGATAAGCAATACCATCAGATGGAGCTGCCCTGAGCTCGCCTGTCCTGGGTGTGATGGATCATGTCTGCTCCAGCCGGGCTGCAGGAGCTCTGCAGAGTGGTCTCTGATGTCCATAAAGGGTTGTTCTTACAGCCCATTCTCTTGAGTTGGGTCCTTGGGAGCTCGGATATCTTAGCTGATCACAGCTGCATCACATTATTTGGGACAACTTCATTTTCTCCCCATCTGGGAGCAGTTGCTCTGCACTGGCCAGCTCATGGTGGTAATGTGGATGGCCAAAGGGATCCCTGGCTGCCAGTCTGGGGAACACAGCACTGCTGAGCTCCTCCTGAGCACGGGGTTGTGTTGGGCAGAGCACCCTGCCAGGGGCATCCCCAAGAGCTGCCCCCTGGGGACTGCCAGCTGCCAGGAGCCCAACACGTTGCTCCCACCTGTTTGGAGCCCCCTGGCCAAGTGGGCTCTGTCCCACAGCAAAGAGGAAGGAGAATGAGGAAACACCACGGCCTTGCTGCTGCAGGGGCTGCCTGCGGTGCTGGGAGCGGAGCAGCTGGGGCTCAGCCTGCAGAGCAGAGACAAACGTGGTTTCACACAGCTGGAGCAGAGGAAATGAAAAATCAGGGCAGCACTGTGCCCTGGGGTGAGTAATCCCAACTGCTCAGGGCTGCCTGGCAGCCAGCCCTGCCCTGCACACCATGCATCTCCCGGCACAAAATTCATCCCATAAAGAGGAAGGAAGGAAAAAATCACATTTCTCCACCCAGGACCCCAAACCAAAGCTTTAAGTCAGTGCAGCACAGAGAGCTCTTCATGGGCAGCGCGACAGGAACGTGACTGTGATCCAAGCCCCAACCCCCCTGCTCTCCTCCCCAGGCCCCTCACACACCCTTCCCCATGCAGCCAAGGGCCAAAGCTCACACAAACGGCGCCCATCCCACCCAGGCAGCACAGACTTACAGGTGCATCGGGCGGCTGTGTGCTGGGCCCTGGCAGCGTCCCCACTGGGCTCCGATACCTGGCTCTCAAAGCCCCACCCCGGCTTCTCCTGCCTCCTGCAGAGGAGGAGCGTCACTGGCCAGGTAAGCCAGCAGCTGGGAATGGGCGCCGCTGGCCTTCCCTGGGATGGGGACCTCGCTGGAGGACCCCCAGGGCTCCCACACCCCAAACCGCTTTGCAGATCTGCTCACAAGTAGCACCGATGGGGGTCCCAGTGAGTGCAGGTCAGGAGCACGGGACACAGAGCTGGGCTGCTTTTCTGCTCCCGTTCGTGGCCGGGAGCCACAAGGCTGCTGAGCTGCAGCTGCATCTCGGCCAGGCAGAGCAGGTAGCACCGCGATCCCCCATCCCCCCATCTTCCTGCACGCCCAAAGCGTGGGGCAGCACAGGGCACAGCAGATGTGCCCCACTGCTGAACTGCAGGGAAGGCTTTGCCCTCCCCACCCGCTCCGTTCCCATTTCCCTTACGCTGCCGCGGTGCTCCCTACCTTCGGCCAGGCCCTGCTTCTCAGCTCAGGGGGGCCCTGGGCCGCTCAGCCACGAGCTGCAGGACGCGACTCAGCCCTTCCCTCTGCAGCCCCGTCCTGATACAGGAAGGAACCGGGGCTCAGTGCTTCCTGCCCCGGTGGGAGGAAGCGGGGAACGGGGCTTGGGCTGCACCGGGGAGTGCAGTAGGGCAGCAGAAAGGGGCGGCTGTCCGACAGCCCTTCCCAGTCCAACCCCATCCCTGCGCTTGGTGATGTTGGAGCCTAGGAACCATTTCTAACACAGAGCGGTGATGCGGTGGCAGGGCTGCTCAGGGAGGTGGGAATCACCATCCCCAGAGGTGTTCAGAGATGCTGAGATACAGCACTGTGGGATGTGGTCAGCGGGCACAGAGGGGTTGGACCTGTGGTTCTCAGAGGTTTTTTTCCAACCAGAATGATTCCATGAACCTCAAAGGCTGCTTGGGCTCAATGTGCAGCATCCAAGCACCCCGAGAGCCTGCAGCCCGGCCTTATCCTCATTGCATTTTGCACCGTGGGACACCTGAGCTGCATGCATTGAGGAGCCAGGCCAGGCCTGAGGGGACCCAGCAGAGCAGCAGCCCCACAGTGCTGCAGCTGCAGGTTCAGCCTCTCTGAGCTCTGCGGGGAAACCCGAGAGGCGTCCAGGATCAGCTTACAGCCCTGCATTATTCAGGTCCAGAGTGGAACAAAGCAGAGGTGAAAGAGGGCCCCACACAGCGGGTTTGGATGTGGTGTTACCGACCTGGCCATGGGAGCACTAACAGCCACTCCTGCAGGATGGGATGTCAGCCCCGTGCTGTGCGGGGATGCTTGCAAACAAAATAATAATAATTTATTAAAAAAATCAAAGCTGTTCTTCTCTGTTTCTATATTGAAAAAGGCTGGAGTGGAAGAGGCAGCTCTGGGGGTGAAGGATCTGTCAGTGTTTCGGTCTCCAACCTCGCAACACAAGCTGCAGGAAGCTCCCCCACCCACCTGCTTCCTGCGCTGCCCTGCAGAGCCACACACAGCCACGTGCTGCTGGAAGCTTCTGCTGGACAAAGTCCACCATCAGGGGACTGTCACCAAGGCCACCATGAGGTCTGGTACTCACGCTGCCCTGGCGCTGCCGATCCCCTTCCCCCAGCAGCCCTTAAGAGCCCAGCACCCGACCTGAAGTCAGACAGCACCTCCTATCACACCCTGCAGGCTCCCCTATCGCAGAGCCCAGCTCTGCTATCACTCACAGTGCTTCTCTTGCACTCTCTCTAATCTCACTTCACAACTTAATGTCAGTTTCACTGCACTTGTTCAGCAGCAACAGAACCTGGAGTTTTCTCAAATGTGTTTGAAGTCAACATCACAGAGTCTAACACAGATCCACGTTTGGGTTTAGATGCCCTTGGTGGTGATTTACATGGCAGTGGAAATGCATACAAGAAACTTGCCAGGCAGCTGTGTGGAGACTGTGGGGCATTTGCTTATTAAATTGAACTCTCCCTCCTCCCAGTCACTCTGTTTTCCAAAACCTTTGCCAAACAGGACAGCCGGCCAGCAGGAAGGAAGTGCTCAGTTACTCCTGCTTGAGATGAGACCTGATGTTAAAACTCAGATCAGGGTTAGTTACTACCTCCAGTTGCTCACCTGCACTCCAGCACGTCCTCTGCTCGCTCCATCTGTCAGCAGTGAGGTGAAACCTGCTGGATTTCCTTCTCAGTTCACTCTGGACACAGCAGACTGCACTGCCATCAGACCCACACTCAGCACCACTTCCTTCTCACACATCTTTTCGCTCTGGGGACGGCACAGAGCTGTGCCAGGGGAGGGTCAGGTGGGGGCTAAGGAAAGGTTCCCCACCAGAGGGGGGTGGGCACGGAACAGGCAGCCCAGGGCAGGGAGCACAGCCCTAAGCTGCTGCAGTTGAAGGAGCCTGGGCCATTCCACTTAATGTCTGAACGGTTTGGACTCTGGCTGGTCCTGGTGAAGCCTGGAGTTGGACTGGATAAGGTCTGTGGGTCCCTTCCAAGTAGGGGTGCTCTGTGATGCTGGCAAATAATCCAGAGCCACTGCAGCTGCAGAGTTCTGGGGCTGCTTCTTCCTCATGACAATTATTTTGTCTGTTAAGAATCACATCTCTGTCGGCTCCAGGGCTTTCCGGTGCCCACAGGCCAATGCTGCTCCATGGTCTGAACAAAAAGCCCAGACCTGAGTCCTTCACAACTGCTCCAGCAGCTTTAGTTCACAACCTGCATCACCTCTCCCTGTTTGTCTTCTCTGAAAAACCTGCTTTTAGAAATCTTGATCTTCTTTTCAAAGGAGAACATCACTGTGAGAATTTGGAATATCTTTACATTCAAGAACCTTTGCCTTACAAATCCTCTTTGAAATAACTCCTTTGATTGTTTATGCCTTAAAAAAAAAACCAACATCTGCAACCACGGACTGTGAATCAGCATTCTTGTAACACTGCTGCTTTGCTTACTGCTCCTCAGACACTGAAATATCACACTGCATTCGAATGCAACTGTGCCAGTAAAAAAAAACAAAAACAAAACAAAAAAACCAAAAAAGCAGGGACTTCATTTGTGAATTGTTTCTGGTCACGTCCAACGTCTGGAAAGCAAAACTTCCCACTTCTTCCTGAAGAACAGAAAACACGACCACTTCCATTAGCACCAAAAGGATTTTAAATGAACAGTTCCAGGGAGCTCCTTTCAAATCATAAAACGTGAATTTTACATAAAAGTGTTTTACAAATAGTTTCTGCTTTACACTCAGCTCTGCTCAACACCGACCAGAAGTTATATACATACACACCAGCTCAGTAGCTTCAATCACTCTCTCAAGGAGGCTGCAGAATTTATTTAAGAAAAATAATAGGATTTCCTGGTTCCTGGGAATTTCCTTCAGCCTGCCAGACGGGTCACTGCTGCGGTGCAGGGAGCACTAAGCTTTTGGGGAGAAGGGGTACTGAGGGTGCCACCAATCCAGCAGCCGGACGCTGTGCACGGGGTCCAGCACCACCTGCACTCCTTGGTCGAGTCGTGGCTTCTTGCCATTGTGAACAGGGGCGTCCTGGAAGAGCAGCCGCACGCGATGATGCCTCATGTCTGTGCTCACGTTGATGGTGAACTGCAAGAGAGAGACACAGAGGTGCTGGAGGAAGCAGACGTGCAGAAACATGCATTTGTTTCCAGGTAAGCAGGACTGCAGACTGATCGCTGACTCTGGGGATCAAAATTACTTCTTTGTGTTACAGCAGGCGCTGCAATGGTTACACTCCAAACCAGTTCCCTGTGGCTGGAAGCCCCAAATAAGAGAACTGGTCACACCCAAAAGAACCTCTCAGACTTCAAGCACAGACACACGTGCTGTCCTGTGCGTTAGCACAGCTGCTCGGCTGCTTTCTAACACCACAGCTCTGTATGGAGCTGAGCTTCTGGGGGTTAATTCAAAAGCTGCTGTTTTTCCAAGCAGTCAAGGATTGAAGACACACTGCACAACTTTGCTCTCAGAATTTGCTGCCTTCAGGCAAGAAGGGATTCCATTTTCCTGCATCCCACCTCCTGTTCCCCCATTGGGTAGTGACTACTCTGCTCCCAGCTGCTGCACACACACAGCTCAGCTTCTCACAGAAGCTCTGCACAAACCACATCTCCAGCATCCAATAGAGAAGAGCCGAGAGATCTGCAGAAGCTTAACTGAGGAGACTGTAGGCAACTCCTGAGATAATTCTCTCTGAGGTTTCCACAGCTGGTTGAGTGATGGAGCAGTGCTATTTACACAGCACAGAAGAGCTCTCCCTCCCCTTTCACGTGCAAAGATTGGGTGGTAGATATCTCCAGCACTTACCAAGGTAAACGTCATACCCATGACTATTGGCACGAATATGAAGTTAAAGGTGGTGATCTGCAGCAGACAGCAATCCTGGTCAGGGTTTGTATGGACTTCTTCATACTGAATAGGTGGCTGAAGACCTTTGGAACATTTGCTCTTAAATCTGGGAGACTTGAAAGAAAGAGAGACAGTCAGCTAAGCAGGAATCTGTGATGAGTTTGGTTTCTTCAGACCAGCGCTGCCCAGGAGGTTCGCAGAGCATCCCCACACACTGCGCAGTGCTACGTGAACAACAGAAAGCCAGCCCTCAGGACAAAGAATCTGAAGGACTATTTCTTTACATAGGAACGCTGCAGAATTCCTGAGGGGGCCTTAAGCAGCCTGAGAACCACTCATGGAGGCTCTCCATTAGCAGGCACTCCTTCACTTCTCGTGGAAATCTTTCCAATGTAAAGCAGCTTCAGATGTGGACTGTTTGATTAGTTATTCAGTCTGTTTTCTGGTGATAGTCAGGAGCCACGATGCAAAGATTACTTTATTTGGGGTGAAAAACAATCCACGTCTTACAGTGGAGCAAGGAGCAAAGAAACACCAAAAATAAATACACAAGATTCTAAACATCTCGGTGATACAGACTGAAAACTGAGAGCAGTTTCAGGCCATGTTTCAGTTTTACCAAAGGATTCAGAGTTTTCCTTTGATGTCTGACCCCATAAAACTGTTTCCTCACTCCCTTCCACCACACACAGGAAAATCATTACTTCTCCAAAAAACTCACAGCCATTGTGGTTCTTCTTTCACAACTGCTGAGTTTCCATACCTGCTTTTTGAACTTGAAGTTGAATTCCCACATTGCTTCTTGTCTGTTCCCTTCAATCTTTTTGCACCAGAAAAGCAGACACTGAGGTGGAAAAAAAGAAACAAAAACCATGAAACCTGCGGAGGAATCACTGTCAATAAGTTACAGCAAAGTGCTGAGACTCCCCATTACAAACACAATCACAGAGCAGTCAGAGCCATTTACTCAAATTATTTATTACCAAAGAACACACCCAGCACTTTGGTCTCCAACTGCTGACCAACTTATCACACAGAAGGATGATGCAACTTACAGCCACTGATGCACTGAACAGAAACCTCTCTGAACAATCCATCCCTTCCATAAGGCAGAGGTGAGCGGTACAGATTCGCCTGTTTCCCTCACCCACCAAGAAGTCCCAATAAATCAGACTCCAAACAGGACTGAGCAAAAAGGAACAACTTCGAATAAGGATCAGGAAGGAGAGAATCCAAAGGGAAATGCCAAGAATGATGTGTGACCCTCGGGGTGACAGATGTGAAAGGTCCGAAGCCGCTTTAGAGTCAAAAGAAGGTCCTGACATCACTAGGCACTGACTGTTGTACTGCAGAGCATAAAAACACTGCCAAGTTAGCACAGTTTGAGCAACCTACTGCTCGTGTTCTAGAAGGAAATGAGAAAAGGGCCTCCTGCAGCAGAGGTAAGCAGCACCGTGCTCCAGTTTAATCCAGTTATCACAGTATGGTCACAGGATCTATCCCAGCACACAGCACCAGTTCCAGCAGGAGTCTCAGCAGAACTCCTGAACTAAAAAGAGGAGGGGGAAATTTCACTGCCTACCAACAGGCAGAAGCAACTATCCTTCAACAGCCACCAAGAGAACCTGGCAAATCAACACACCACAGTTTCCACAGCACAGATGCCAGCCCACCACTGCTGGTCTTACCTGGTCCTTCTAACAGTGTCAGCACGTAAAGAAAGAACAGCATTGGTAAAGACAACTCCTCATGATCCATACACCATTTCTTGCACACCAAGAAGGCCTGACTGGGTCACGCTGGGAAGCTCACACCTAATGTAAATCCAGCAGAGTGGAACCCTGAATGAATCAAAGCCAGAGCCATCATCCACCACAGGACCTCTGTAATTAGAGACTAGAGGTGATGCAGGACCCCTACCTCAACTCCGAGTCACATCCATAAGCAAGACTCATTGGGGACCCTTACCTCCACAGTCCTCATGAGGTGACCAAAGCAGTCAATTTCAGAAACACACATCAAGTAACCAACCTCCACGTGGGAGGAGAGGAGGCAGCCCTCACGTTTTGCCAATAAAAACATTCTCCAGATCTTTCTTATCTCAGTTTAACTCTGCCATCAGTGCTATTTGTAGTTCACCTGCACAGACGGCCTGGTCTAGCAACTTGCAAGTAGTGAAGCACAAAATGGTCAGTACCTCCTAAGGGGCAGAGGATGTTGTCCACGGGTCAGCCGTCCTGCCCTTCAGACGCGCCGTACGGCCTGCTGCTCCACCAAAAATAATGGGGGATGTCTTTAAAGGGCAAACACTTCTGCTGACACCATAACAGCTCCAGTGTCCCACACAAGCTAGGCTAGGGAAAGAAAAAAGGAAATTAAAGAGGAAAAGCTGGATTTGGTAACACAGAGGACTGGAGTCTCCTCTTGCCACATGCAGCTTACGTAAGAATCTGCCATTATTTTCAGTGACCCACAGAGGTATAACCAAAGCCCATGAAAGCAAGAACATGGGAAGGAAGTGTCAGACCCTCCTCCATACCCACTGTGCTTTGACATTTCAGTGCACAGTAACACACGTGTGGAGCTCACTGTCTTGCAGTGCAGTAGCACAGCAAGACCAGCCTTGTGATGGCTCCTTAGTGCTCCAGGGGGTCAGGTCAGATCTCTGCTGTCCTAAGCAAAGCCTCATCATCCTTTAATTTCCTTTTTTAAGACCTGAACAACGAAAGACTGCACTTCAAGAA